CATGGATCACTGTGGCGAGGCTCTGCCCGTCCAGATAGTTTGTAGTTGGTGAATCAGCCTCAGCTGGCACAAGGTGCTCCTGGCCACCGAGTCCACCTGTGACTCGAGAGATAATTCTGGGTCCAAGAGCAACCCTGAACTGTGAACGTTGTCCATTAGGAGCAGTGCAACCCCATCCAGGGCAGGATGAAGATTTTCCAGCTGGACAAACCATCTGCTCACCGATAGCACCTCTGTCTTGTTTAGACTGAGTTTCGGCTTACTGGCCCTCATCCAGTCCACGAGTGCATGGGTCCTCAAGCTACGGCCCGCGGGGTGGACCTGGCCCACCACGGCCATCCATCTGGCCCACGCCACCGATCGCCGCCCGCGCGCACACTTGCTGCACAGCCAGGGAGGTGGTGGCTCGCTCGCTCGGAGATGGTTTTGGACTCGCTGGGAGATGGTCTCTGAGCGAGCGAGCCACCGCCCCGCGTGCCCAATGCCACCTTGCATGCGCCTGACGGCACCTCACCGGCCTGTGCCCCCAGGCACCCCCCCACCTCACCGGCCCACGACGGTCACCACAGCCTTTCAACTGGCCCCCTATTCAAAAAGTTTGAGGACCCCTGCATTAGTGAGTTCAGGATCTGATTCAGAGCAGTCACTGCCTTACCTGGGTTTGATGAAAAGGTAGAGCCAGGTGTCATCTGGGTATTGGTGGCACTTCATCCCACACCTCTAGATGACCTCTCCCAGCAGCTTCATGGAGAGATTACATACTATGGGGGATAGAAGAGAGAAGTCCATGGCGAAACTGCCATGGCACAGGGCCACCCAGTAATCCCCCTGAGCCACCTTCTGGAATTGGCCAGTCAAGTGGGAAGAGAGCCACCGCAGTGCAATACCTCCTATCCCTAACCTGACCAGCCTATCTAAGAAGGTTACCATGGCCAATGGTATTGAACACTTTTGAGAGGTCATCAATAGGGTTACTATTGATGGTAATGTTATTATTGATGGTAATGTTACTGTTGAATCGTGGCAGAGATGATGTGTAAGAAAAACCTCCCTTGTTGGCTCCCATACTCTAAGAGCCTTGAAAAAAAAAGGGGGGGGGAGCAATCTCCTAATTTACAAGACTGTGGGAACCTGAGAACAGGGTCTGGCAGAGTTTCCCCGTCTCCTTGTCTGAGTTGGAGGAAGAACATGGAAGCCTTCCTCACTGGCACCCGATCTCTGTGAAATAGTGCATAATTTTGTTGCTCATCCCATTTCTGAGTATCCAAATGTGCAAAAGCCAATTATCAACAGTCTATTTTACACAACTCATTTCGCTATTGCACTGGCACCTGGAGATGCATTTCTAAACTTTCCTAACTCCTAAATGCCAGTAACTTTTAGAATTGGGGGTGGGGAGGGACATGGAAAAATGGAGAATCCAGTGTCAAAATGACTGGGCTAGACGTGAGTACTATTTAACTTGACTGGGATAAGGGATGGATCTGCTCCTCCACTCCAGGCAGAAAAATGCCCCAGACTTGGTCACAAGGACACAAGGGCAGGTTTCACGTTCAGCTTTGGGGTGACTGCAAGTGAAGCCCTTTTTCCTTTTCTTTGGCTCCCTTTCATTCCAGTGGGGTACATAGATCAACTGGCTTGGGGATAACTTTACAGTAGGAGCAAAAGACGCCCATCACCTTTTCCTCTGTCACCAAGCCCCTTTTTCATAGCTGCCAGCTGCTAATCCCTAGAAATGGTTGGTAGAAATGGTTGAGGGGAAGGACTGACTCCTTCAGAAAGTCTTCCT